TAAAGCAGGTAGAAATACTAATTGATTTTCAAAAATCATCATATTCAAAGAAGCGAACAGAAAAGGTGTCAAAAATAAAATTTCCAGAAAATTCATTAGAACACAAAAGAAATGGTAGTAATACTCCGGAGAGTTGAAAGGAAGGGTAATTGCTTACAATCTTTCTTCATAAACAATGGTTTGTTCCTGAATTACCCAAGCACTCAATTTGCACTGTTCACTCGGGGCATTCGCACTGTGCGTCAGTTACGAAAACACGAAACAGAATACGGAGCGAGACACAAAGAAAGTAGTGTATGTACGTATACGCTTCATTCCTTGCGTCTTATTCGTTATTCCCCTTTTTCAGCTGTTTGCCTTTGCCATGCAGCCTGCTACGCTACATACCAAAAAGATGAAAAAGGGGAATAAAGAATAAGACGCAAGGCAAGAAGCGTATATGCAAATACACTACTTTCTCTTCATGTCTCGCTCCTTATTCTGTTTCATGTTTTCGTAACTGACGCACGGTGCAAATGCCTCGGGCGAACAGTGTAATTTGAGTGCTTGGGTAGCAATTGCTGATCAAAGTTCAAACATGTATCTATTCATAGCGGTAACATGATCAAATTCAGGAATATGTGATATTTTTACCCAGCTGAATCGGCTCAGGTAGCTAACGCGAGCTAACGTTGGACGATGAAATTCAGTGTAAACAGTAGAATTGATTGTTTGATGACAAGCTAGAAATAAAATCCAAAAAACAATGCCAAAAAGTAAGCGAGCTGTCAAACTGAATGATGTGTATTTTCATGGGGGAAATGATTTGATAAGGTTCTTTTTTGAAATTATTATTTTTATCGCAAAATTAATATCGTATTCGGTTTTTTCATGCATCACACATTTTTACTACGGAAAAAAACAAACAGAAGAAGAAAGCGACAAAAACACCTTTTTCATTTTCAATGGTTAATTGGTCACCTACCTGGCATAGTATTGTTTTAAAATCCAAAAGACATCCTCATATGATAGATACCAGTGAATAGATCCTATTCATAGGTGCAATTTGTGAACAACGCATACGAACAGCGATTTTATGATAATGCCACTCTCGCTTGAAAAGGATGAAGTAATATGAAAGCCAGTTATGTATGGGATTTCATACGGACGGTTTGCTTTTTTTTATTCCCGTACATTTTTTCCCAATGTCTGTTTGTGGACTTACGCTTTAAAAACTCAAATTATTGGTGTCTGAGCCTGAAGAAATATTCATAATTTAAAATTTTAAAATATTTCTTTAAAGATGACTGAAAATTACAATCCTGCATTCCACAACAATAATGAAGAGTAATAGTTAACATTGGTCTTTAAAACACTAGTGGATTATATTTGAACTACAACAGTCATTAGCAGCACTCATTGATCCAGAACGTTTCAACCGGTAACAAAATCGCTTTGCTAATTAACAACCGACGCATAGAATACATGTTTGTTGGTTCACTATCAATCGCATTTCGTCTGTCGACATAGACAATTGTTTTCATTCCATTTTAAATTTCTATAAATTTTCGTATATTTTTACTATCATTTTCTATTTCGTACTTCTTAAATACATTTAATATATTTGAATTGCATTGAATAAGGAAAAAAATAATCAAGAAAGAACATTCTTTCCTCATTTCAGGATCTACATTAATCACACATCAATTTATCAAACATCCAAAGCAATAAAAAATGTCAATGTCCAAAATAGCAACGACCAATGTGGCAAGTCCTGACGGAACTTCTGAACTCGGAAAGAAGTTCTACCTTAGCAAGGAGTTTTCTGATGTTCAAATTGTCTTCGTGGTAAACGATGAAGAAGTTGGACGGGTGCCGTCCCATAAAATTATCCTGGCTGCACACAGTGACGTTTTTCACACAATGTTCAACGAATCATGGAAAGAGAAAAATGAAGTGAAAATCGTCGATGCAGATGTTGCGGATTTTAAAGAATTTCTTCGTTTCTTCTACTTTGGAACGGTGAATTTGACCAAAGAAAATGTAGATGCAATCATGAATCTCAGCAATAAATACAATGTCACCGAGTGCAAGAATTTATGCAGAAAATTCTTGAAGGCAACAATGACCAGTGAAAATATGCTTTCGAGGTATGAATTAGCCATTTTTCTTGAGGATGAAAGTCTCAAGAAATTTTGCGAAGCAATGATCAGTGTCGATGCTCGAGATTTCTTGAAGAGGCCAGGATTTTTGCAATGCAATAAAAAGACATTGGCGGAACTGATGGAAATGAAAAGTTTGAAGTGCTCCGAAGTTGAACTATTTGAGGCGTGCATGTCTTGGGTGAAGAATAAAAGTAAAGAAGAGAACTTAACTAGAGAAATAGTACAATCTCAACTCGGTGACTTATTTTATAAAATTCGTTTTGGATCGATGACCATCAACGAGTATGCCACTCTCATTCCTTCGTACGGATCACTATTTTTAAATGAAGAATATCAAGAGATTATTCAAATTGTGGGCGATAAGGAATTTCAATCAAAGCAATTCAATGGAATACGAGAGAAACGTTGTGACGTTAACTTATTTGAAGGCTATAAAAATATTTGGTGCATTCGACTTGCTTCTCAAACAAATTCCATAAGCCCCTATTTTGTAAAGAGTTTAGAAACAACCACATTCTCCGTCAATGAAACAGTTTTTTTTAAAGGATTTACATCTGATCGTTTATGGAGTTATAAAAATACTAGAAACTTATATTATGATTTAACAGAGGTAAAATGTGAAATAACAGTTGTTCGGATTCCAAATAGGTCTGATCAATTCATTAATGAAGAAGTTGTTTTGTGGAATGGAAAAACAAATTTAATTTCAGAGCATGTGAACGTGTCTTTACCCGAGCCAATTCTGATCAGCCCGAAATTTATGTATGAGATTAGAATGAAACAAACTCCACCTGAAAATTGCTGTTCCAATGCTTTGTTGAAATCACAAGTTCAAATAGATTCCGATTTCAGCGTACAATTTCATCGTGATACGTTTTTGGAAGATGATTCACTTTCGGCTAGAGGCATAATCGTTGGAATAAATGTCTATCGTATCTAATGCTAAAAAAAGCCGAATATTGCGTTAAACATATATTTTTCTACATGCTACGACAACGCCATCTCTGTTTCCCCATGTGTGTAGAGTATGTTCAATATTGACAAATCATTCAAACGAGTCAATTTTGTACCGCAAAAAAAGCTGTCATCGTGAAAATATCTCAACAATATTATTCATTGAAATTTTTGAAATTGACTGTGCCGTGTTTATTTTCTAAAACAATTTTCAAATGCATATTTCTGTAAATCTCATTTCAAAGTTTTTGAAATATTTGTACATTGTACAATTCTAATTTTAATTTTTTTAAACTGAAATGAAATTTTCAGCATAGAAACAGCTTCTGCTGCAAGACCAAAGATGTCGTTTTCGGGGGAGATTCGTGTGACGTTTTCATATAAAACATATAGCGCATTACTCGGTTAGCTAAAAATAACCATGAATGGTACTACCGCCAATGACGCATCTGAATAACATAAAATAGTAGCCGAATATTAATTGAGTGAAGACCTCGGTTCATACTTAATTCCTTACAAGGAAATTCATTTTTTATTATTGATTTTTAGAACGATGCAATTTTGTAAAAAATTATTCTTGTATTTCATTTTACACATAGTTCCACTTAAAACATTTTTTTCGAATAAAATAAATTGTCAATCAAAAATAAAAATGTGTGTACAATTTTTTCCAATATACACAAAATATTCAAGAATTTTTCCAACAGATACCCGGACAGATGCTATGTTTCTCATAATTTATATTCCTATAACAAGAATGTAATATTTTCCTTTTTCGCACACACAAATGTGTGAATTTAAGTATTGCAATCACTCCAAAATGTTGAAATAACACGTTCGATTAACATATCTGTCTAACTAAGATCTATTTAGCTTAATCAATTCACCTAAATCCTTGTTAATGTCTCACGGTACATTTGACTATGGTTGGCTATTTTTTATGCCAGTGAATTTTTTTTCTAATGTATTTTGGGGACTTACGTTTTAAAAACTCAAATACAATAAGTAATAGTCAACATTACAAAAGCATTGGTCTTAAAACACTAGTGGATTGCAATGGAACTACAACAGTCATTAGCAGCACTTGGTCCACAACGGTTGAACCGGTAACAAAACCGGCTTACTAATTAACAACAGACGCATAGAAGACATGTTTGTTGGTTCATTAGCATTCACACTGTTGACATAGCATCACAAAAGTTTATCTGCTTTACATCAAGTTACATTTAGTTTATCAAAAGTTTTTTTAAATGTTCCATTTATTCTCATTTATTTCTTTTTAATTATTTGGACAAAAAACGGTGAAATTTACAGTGATTTTGTACCAAAAGAAAGTAAATGGAGTTCAAATTAAATTTATATCAATACTTATAAGCTTACTTTTCTCGCAAATATATATCGCATTGCGATATGTTGGTGTAAATTTATTTATTTTCTATAAATATTTTGATTACAGTTCATGTCATTTCCAAAAATTCTTTATGAAATTCTATCGTATTTTTTTTTAAAATATTAAGCAAGCTTTATTAACAAATTCGATATTATTCTGTGTGAAATTTTTTAAGTGAAATTCCATAGATTTGGTTGCGGAATTATGGAATCGGATTAACCTTGGCTAGAAACCGACATACACTGATGAATAATATAAAAAACTAGTCCTGATCACAATGCTATGCCACAAAAATACGCAAAAAAGAAAAAATTATCGTTTATTTTTATAAAAAAGAACCATTTTATGTCTTTAATTTCAAACGTCCAAAAAATTCAAATTTTTTAATGAACACTTTTCTTATTTCAGGATCTTTATTCATTCATTGACACATATTGACCTCAGAAAATCGATCTTAAATTTATTTTTGAAAAATATTTCGAGCCACTCACCAATATTGCCCAACGATCAATATGTCGAGTCATGTACTTTTGGAAATCGGAAAGAAGTTCTACCTTGGCGAGGAGTTTGCTGATGTTTACATTGTTTTCATGGTGAACGATGAAGAAGTTGAACGAGTTCCGGCCCATAAAAATATTTTGGCTGCAAACAGTGACGTTATTCACACAATGTTCAATGAATCGTGGAAAGAGAAAAATGAAGTGAAAATCGTCGATGCAGATGTTGCGGATTTTAAAGAATTCCTTCGTTTCTTCTACTTTGGAATGGTGAATTTGACCATAGAAAATGTAGATGCAATCATGAATCTCAGCAATAAATACAATGTCACCGAGTGCAAGAATTTATGCAGAAAATTCTTGAAGGCAACAATGACCAGTGAAAATATGATTTTGAGGTATGAATTGGCCATTTTTCTTGAGGATGAAAGTCTCAAGAAATTTTGCGAAGTAATGATCAGTATCGATCCTCAAGATTTCTTAAAGAGGCCAGGATTTCTGCAATGCAATAAAAATACATTAGCGGCACTGATGGAAATGAAAGGTTTGAAGTGCTCTGAGGTTGAACTATTTGAGGCGTGCATGTCTTGGGTGAAGAATAAAAGTGAAGAAGAGAACTTAACTAGAGATATAGTACAGTCTGAACTTGGTGATTTATTTTATAAAATTCGTTTTGGATCGATGACAATCAAGGAGTTTTCCACTCTCATTCCTTCGTACGGATCACTATTTTCAAACGGAGAATTGCAAGATATCATTCAATTTGTAGGCGATAAGGAATTTCAATCAAAGTTATTCATTGAAACACGAGAGAAACGTTGTGACGTTAACTTATTTGAAGGCTATAAAAAGATTAAGCGCAATCGACTTGCACCTCAAGAACAATCCGCAAAACCATATATTATGAAGAACTTAGAAACAACCACATTCTCCGTCAATGAAACAGTTTTTTTAATCGGATTTAAATCTGCTCCTTTATGGATTTATAATAATAACATATATAGAAGATTAACAGAGGTAGTTCCATCTGAAATAACAATTGTTCGAATTCCAAATACGTCTGATCCATCCTTTAATGAAGAAGTTGTTTTGGGGACTGGAAAAATAAACCTAGAATCAAAACATGTGAAATTTAATTTATCCGAGCCAATTATGATAAGTCCGAACTTCATTCATGAGATTAGATTGATGCAAACTCCAAATGAACATAGCTCCACTTATATTTTGTTGAAATCTCAATTTCAAATTGATTCCGATTTTAGCGTACAATATCATCGTGATACAGAGAGAGGCATTATCTATAGACTAGATTTCTATCGTATTTAATGCAAATAACCACGAAGAATAGAGGAACATAACAAACAATAAACAAAACAAAAAAAACACCCAGTACAAATCCGTCGAACAAGTCGACGACAGCGATTTGACAGGTGGACGACGCGAGAAACTTATCAATCCCTATTAACAAAACTACACTTGACAGTTATTGTATTGAATTTTGTACGGGATTTATTTATTATATAAATATAAAAAAAAAACAATGTGAAATGTGAATAAAAAAGATAAAAAATTAATGTCGTGACGAATTATGTGAAAAAATAAATATTATATTTCAATTACTCAGCGGAAAGTATGCTTGAATACGCGTATACCGCTGCACAGCGGTACCAATATATACAAAGACATAAAGGTCGATCCGCTTTAGAAAACATTTCTATTTTTTACACCTAATGACGGCTCATTATTTTTGTTTTTATTTTATTAATAAAACTAAATTAAAATTAAAAAATGTGAGTTTTTTTACGAATGCGATTGCGTGGTATTATTTCTCTGCTGTGCAGCAGCAGCAGGAACATATGGAGGTTAGGTGTCCTCTTGAGTCAATTTTATTGTATTATTTTTTTGTAGTTCGTTTATTTAATGCACTTTTGAAAAATTAACAAAAAACAAATGAGGAAAATTGATTTATTGTTTTATTTTATTTAAAATATTTTCATTTATAAGTTTCATCGTTGTTCCAAATTTTCTGATATTTGTATCAAATGTGGAACAAAAGAGTATCATATAGCGAACAGAAAATTTGAAACAACGATGAAACTTATAAATGAAAATATTCTAAATAAAATAAAACAATACATCAATTTTCCTAATTTGGTTTTTGTTAATTTTTCAAACGTGCATTAAATAAAAGAACTACAAAAAAATAATACAATAAAATTGACTCAGGAGGACACCTAACCTCAAAATATTCCTGCTGCTGCTGCACAGCAGAACAATAAAACCACGCAATCGCATTCGTAAAATAAAGAGTCTTACGGGAGTAAGACGAACTTTGCCGCACGGTAGTAGTTGCGTATTTTATTAAGCAAGTTCAAAATATCATTTGTTCGATTTTTCAAGCCTTTCAAGCGGCGTAAAGTTCGAGACCAAAAAATATTTTTCAACTTTGGCAACGAAATATTCTTTAATTTAATAGCAGAAGTACCCGAGAAAAGATTTTTCACACTTTCATGATGAACCCATTTGTACGACATTTGAAAGTATTCTATTTTCTAACAAAATACTATAAAAATATGTCTGACGTTAATTTTGCCATAAAGATTATTTTTGAAACACTTTTCATAACTAAAGTCACAAAAAATTTGGATTTTTGTATGGGAGCCATGTCTGTATGCTACCTTAATGGCGTGAAACTTTGCACAGGTTATTTTTTTCACAAATAACATTCGGAGGGTTTGAAGAAATTTCAACCAAAATCAAGAGTACCTCCCATACAAAATATTCGTTTTTGAGCCAATTGAAAATTTTGTATGGGAGGTACCCCTAATTTTAATTGAAATCTCTTCAAATTTTCAGAATGTTATACTTTTGTGTGAAAAATAGTCTGTGCAAAGTTTCACGTCATTAAGGTAGCATACAGGCATGGCTCCCATACAAAAATCCAAATTTTTTGTGATTTTTTCAAGGAAACTGTATTAAAAATTGATTTTATCTCAAAACTAACGTCGGATTCGGTTTTCTCGTGCCAAAAAACTCCTCCTCGGCACCCCCAATCATTCTGTACAGTCAGATTTCAAATAACTTTTCTGGGGGGTGAGATAATCGATAGAGAAATAGAAACGTACGACGTACGACGTGGAACAGACCCACAACAAGCATGCTCAAAACGACCTGATTCGGGTTCTCTGACCTCAGAAACGTCCAGAAAACAGGTTTTTTAGGTTTCGTAAATTTTGACCCATTGCAATACTTTCCCCCAAACTAGGTGTGTGCGGAAAAGTAAAATCAGGTATGAACTAAAATTGACAAAATTTTGTCAGTGGTTACCACACATCATATTTTGCCGAGACAAATCCAGTGTATCCAGCTATTAAATGTGTTTTGCAAAAAAAATTTATCAAATGTGAACTAGCCCCAACTGATTTCAGAAGATATTTATCTTCTGAAATGATTCGTCTTGATTAGCTAAATTTTGTTTCTGAGATTGGTAATTATGTATATAAAACTGATAAAGTTCACAACAATTAGTTGTACTCACACAACACATTTGTTTTGCATTGCACAAACAGAATATGTCAACTAATTCATACAACATGTGAAAAACAATATCGAAATGGGCGCTCGTGCATAAATATCGTTTTGAAAATGCAAATGTTGTCTGTGCTAAAGAGAGCTGGAGAAATCAGTAGAGTAAAAAAGATTGTATGAAAATGGGGAAACAAGTGGCCATATGAATGCGAATTTTGGCTTAATCCTTGTGTAGACTGTGAGTGTTTTTCAGTAAGCTAAATGATGACTCTATGTGCATTCGTTTCCACTTCAATTTCCCAGGATTTCTCTGTATTTGTATTTGCTGTATATTTTAACTCTTTGTTTCTACAATTCAATGCAGTGTTTTAAAACCAACGCATAAATATTCACTTAATGCTAAACAGTTATATGGGCTGGATACTAAAACGCTGAACTGTTGTGTGTAGATGGAAAAAAAACTGCTCTTCAAACGAATGTATTAGAGAAAAGTCGTTATATACGTTTCCGTATGGTTTCCACAGAGTTTTAAAGCTGAATTACATGAATCAAACCCACACACATTCCTGATACCTGGAATGCAGAACATTTATTTAAATTTCGATTTCATCGTTGTGCACACAGGCACAGAATGAGCATGGTGTTTTTCTTTGAAGAAGCTGAAAGCTATTCAACCATAAAACTAAGACATCATACTGTTGATGTGTATCTAAGAGTGTGTACCTGTACAGTGTACATTCTGTAAATTAAATATATATACATAGAACATATTTAAAAGACTCCATATGTTGTATGAAGTACATAGAAAACGTCACCAAAAAATGAAGTGAATGCGGAAAGAAAAGTCAAGGGAGCCAGTGACGGTGAGAAGTAGTTTTCCGGGTGGTTGTTGCATATTTTATTGCACGATGGAATACTCTCGTTGTTTTTGGTTTTTAGTCACATTTAAGTGATCTATTACTTTTCCGCACACACCATGTTTTCTGGGTGTTTTAAGAGCCAGGAAACACGAATCTAGCGTTTTTTCGATGTCCGAATGTATGTGCGTGGTACCCTGTACCCTGTACGCAAAAATTTGTTAACACGATAACTTTCAAAGATGAAAAGTAATTCAAAATCTGACTTCACAGGATGATTGGGGGTGCCGAGGAATAGAAACCATTAGATTTTGAGCGACTTTGGTTGACAGAGTGAAGTGTCATGTCTGGTGTGATGCCCATGGCCATCCATGGGAAAAATTCAAATTTTCTTCCAAAAGTGATATTTAATGTATTCCTAAACACTCAAAAATGTGTATTGGGGGGTTTTTGGGTACGAAAAAACCGAATAAGATGTTAGTTTTGCGATACAAATAACTTTCGACACAATTTTCATACAAAAATGACAAAAAAGTTGAATTTATGTATGGAAGCCATGCCTGTATGATATCGTAATAAGCTGAAACTTTGCACAGGTTATTTTTATCACACAAAAACGCCATTCCGAGAGTTTGAAGAAATTTCAATGCATATTAAGGGTACCTCCCGAACATAATTTTGGATTTTTCGCTCAAAAACGAAATGTTGTATGGGAAGTACCCTCTTAATATGCATTGAAATTTCTTCAAACTTTCAGAACGTTAACTTTTTGTGAAAAAAATAACCTCTGCAAATTTTCACATGATTACGATATCATATAGGCATGGCTCCGATACAAAAGTTCCCATTTTTGGTAGTTTTTGTATGAAAAGTGCTTCGAAAATTATGTGTATCTGAAACTAATGTCAAATTCAGTTTTCTCGTGAATTCTTTAAGTAAAAGATTTGTTATAAATGCATGTTGTGGATCACAGTGCGGAAAAGTTCATCTTACAGATGTAAGACATTCAGTGACCGGTTCGCGCATATTTCTATGCCTGATAGCTATGCTAAGCATAGCGGAGACGCAAGCCGCAACGCACCCGTCACCATTCGATTCGAGCTATATTGTATGCGCACGGTCGTCTGCATAAACGAACATGTGCATTGTTCATATGTACGGCTGGTAATAAAAGCGACTTTAAGCAGAAAAAATCTTAAAAGTGTCTCATAATTTGTAAAGGATTTACATAAGATGGAGACGGTTTAAAAAAACTTAAAGTCACTTTTATTCTCAGCCGATCATATAGAGTGAACGGCGATGCGTCGGTTGCGTTTGCGGCTATGCTTGGCATATCTATGCTACCTAGCGTATTTAGGCAAACATAGAAATATGCGCGAACCGGTCACTGAAGACATTTTATTTATTTTTTTGCGTCGACAGCATTTGCACTATCTACTTGCAAAATCTACCCAAGCAATTCCATTGCCATTTTCTTTAATATTGCCGTTATTATTGTTATTTTGCTTCAAGAATTAAATAGTTTTGAAATTCTTTTATTGCACATTTTGGTTGATTGTAAATATGATTAAGAAAATGTTTTGCGAAAATAAAGGAACACAAAATCTCAAGATGGAATAAGTTTTAGTTGTTAGTTTTTGTTTACTTATCAACCGGATATCTATTGAATCCCAAATAAATATAAGTGTTTTGTCTCCCTTAAGGCAATTGAACCAAAAATAAATCTAAAATGCACTAAATAAATTTAAAAAAAATTTCAATAAGAATGTTTCTATCTTTATCCAGACAATATATTGAGATTATTTCAGGCAGCTGATTCAGCTCAGAAATCTAACGCCAGGCGCTAAAATGGAATGAAAACAATAGAAGCGATTCTTATGGGTATAAAAACACTTATATTGTCAAAATCACTATAACAATCAGTTCCATTGTTTTTTCTTCATTTCAGCGCCTGGCATTAGCTCCCTGAGCTGAATTAGCTGCCTGAAATAATCTCAATATAATCTCTGTCATTATCTATTTCTGAATTCCGCGCAGACCGAAATTGAATTGGGTAAAACAATTGAACAAGAGATCATACTATTATTTTCAAAGTCACAAAACTTCTTTGAATACAATTTTTTTCTTTCTTTTCTTTTGGGTTTTTTGTTCGATAAACACCACTATCACCAAGAAGCATTGTTTACATTTCAATCTTTTCACATTTTTTCTATTATTATTCGTTTGCTAAGAAGTGGAAGGAAACGGTTGAGTCCGAGACGACTCGAAAAATATATAAAAAGACGTTGAATCTTATATGTGATTGTATAAATCAATTTTTTTAAAGTCAGATTCGAAGAATTTCAGCACAATTTTTTTTCGTTAAAATAAGTTTTTGTATGTGAGTTATAGTATATAATTTCAGACTATCTTTTGCAACTTCCATAGTAAATATTTAGTTCAGATAAACAGAACCAAACGACGAACAGTTGTTTTTTTTATTTACATGTCCAGAAAATATTAAGATTTATGCTGAGCATGTCAACATCCAGTTCCAGAATTAAGTCTCCAAGCATAAGGAACTTGTTTTCAAACAAAAATAAAAAAATTTATATACTCTTATCACGAAGTACAAAGGAAATAAACACAGATATAGATTTCGACTTAAGTGAATAAATGGCAAGCACATTAATTGTTCAGTTCAGCTAAAATATTAAACAGATATGTCTAAGTAAATATTTTTACATCAAAACGATTCTGTAAATTCGATAAAAAAAACACATTTATTGAATTTCAAGTTTTTTAATGTTTAGCCCAAATAATAATATATTTCTTTTGAATATCAATAATTTTCCGAACAATTTACGTACACAATTGAAAAAGCAAAAACATTTCTTTTTACCTCCACAAAAGCATTAGCGAGAGCAAAATGGATGGCATGCCATTTCGGATCGATGACGTAATCATTTATTATTGAAAGGGAATATGAAAAAAAGCAGTGGCTCTACAACGACTTACCGTAAAAGCATCAGCAACAATAATATCACAAAAAACTTATTCAATCGAATGCAGCATACCTGTAACAAGCGCACTGATAACATGGATACATTCAACACGGGAGAGTTAAATTACTAATGTTGGCGTGAGTTTTACAACACAAAAACAATCGTTATAAGATTCGCTATTTTGTTATTGCTGTTGCATATATGTGATTTACAACGCATATACGATGTACATTTGTGTGACACTTATACATGATTTATATTTACATTCCTCCGCTATTTATTTTCTGGTTGTTGTTGTTTTATTTGTTAATGTCACCTTTTTGTGTACTATTCATTAGGTGACGGTGTTTGCGTGTCTGTCTGTATTGGAATGACCAAACGCCTGCACCCACATAATAATGCCCAAAGCCATTGTTTTGTATATTGATACTTGACATTAACGCATAATAGACACAAAACACTGAAAAAACACACATCGCTTCATTGTTTGCATATAGATTTGGAATTGTGTACTGTACACAGAGAGAGAGAGACAGAGAGAGAGAGAAAGAGAAAGAGAGAGCGTGTGGCATCCAAAATGACAAGAAAATTAAATAACACAGAAAAAAATGCTTATATGAATGGTAAATACGATTAAATATATATCAGAGTATATATCGTTGGAGTAGCTGTGCGCCGCACAGTTTGCGGTGTATGTATAGTCTTGCATTTGGAGTGGCATGTACACATAAACACACACATACAAACACATACACACTTGATAACGTGCTGTGTTGGCACAGACAAACTATGATCGCGTATACACAGAAATAGACTTATACATAAACGCAACAACGAATATCGAAAGAGTAAGAGAGAGCCGAGTCGAGGTTGGATATAACAATACACGATTATTAGTAACTTAGTTAAGTTTGCGGTGTTTCCATGTTAGGTTCGGTCTCTCGTTTAGTGCACGTCTTAAAAAAGAAAACGAAATTCAGTGTGTAGCGTACTAATTGTGTTTCATTCTCGCACACTGACCATTAGCACCCAGTAAGTAATATCGTGAACAACTAATTCGTTACAAAGTGTTTCACTGTTCCCAGTTCAGCTATTTCACTCAATTGATTGTAATGTATACGACGACAATTATTCTTTTCAACACAATCAAACTCATTGAATTGTGTATGGGCTGTTTTTTTGTGTTCTTATGTACTGTGTTGTGATGAGAAAACAATTCCCTTGGAATTTTTGTACACAAACCAACCAAAAACAACTTTATTGAAAGAAGAATTTTTTAATGTATATTGCCCGTGTGCTGTGAACATAGCAAGTGTTTGGAAACTACGACGACGAAAAAAAAAAAATCACGTGAATACCAAATACAATTTTACGGTGAACCAAACAAAAAAAAACGAGATTCAAAAATAAAAACATACACATAAAAAGTGAGTTTTGTAATTAAATAATTTATGATCTGAAATTTGCATCATAAGCAGAAACTACTTCATATCTAGTACGGAAAATTCTTTCGTTTGAAAGTACATGCAAAATGTACTCTAGAAAAAAAATCATCCAAATCGGATTATGTGATGATATGAGAGCCTGAAACCCAAAACAAATTATAAAAATTCTTTTCGGAAAAAGAGCATAAGAAATAATTGAGCACAAAACGAGAATATAGAGAACTGAGAGTTGAAACAGCACATAGAATACTGAGAGCAAAAGTAGCATATATCGATTTGCTGTTCTTACTCTCAATTCTGTATATTGTATTTTAACTCTCAGTTTTTATTCGCCTCATTTTAGCACTGAAAATGTATATTTTTTTATTTGGAACCGATAAATATTATATTTGCTTTCGTCAAAAACATGAGACGAATAAAAACTGAGAGTTAAAATATAATAAATCGCTTGTTTGTTTTGTCGCTAACTGAATTTATTTTCTGTTTTAATTCTCAGTTCTGTATATGCTCTTTTGAATCTCAGTTGAATCTCTCATATGTAATTGTTTATAGATTCATCTTACGTTGTTGTTTTGTTGCAAACCATTAAGCACGGTCAAAGCACATATTATTTTATGAATGATCACCATATACATAGGCTAAGCACACCTTGAACGAATGAGTCATCGCGATTCCAAACGTTTCACGATCGAATCATATTCATTGCGTGATATCGCTGTGATCACCGCGTCATCATGCGAAATTTGTTACATGTGTTTGTATTTAAAAAAAAAAGAAGAAGAATGGAGAATATGAAAGAGAGAAACGACATAATCACGGTGTGATAGATCCACGGCTCCGGTACGATGTAAATGTATTGCATACAAGTGATTATTGGAATCGATTGGAACTAAACACATGCACAGAAAGAAAAAATGTGGTATTTTTAATTCAATTTTGGTAGATTTAATATAAAATCAACCAACAACGAAATAAATTTACCATTTTTGACATCTCTGAGGCATATTTCTCAAAAGAGACTATCAGTTTAATAAGTTTTACCAATTGCTTCATTTCATTCACCAAATTCATGGGCTAGCGTCATCTGTGGTTTCGAAAAGTTGGTAAATGTAATGAAGCAGTTGGTAAAACTTATTCAACAAATTTGCCTCAGAAATGTCAAAAATGGTAAATTTAATTCGTTGTTTGTTAATTTTATATTAAATCTACCAAAATTGAATTAAAAATACCACATTTTTTCTTTCTGTGTGCCTTTTACCTGATTTCAACATAATCGTTACCGGTTTGGGTTTCTCCAAATATTGCTCTTTTTATTTGTTTCGTTTGTTTGTATTAACTCTCACATTTGAAAAAGAAGTTTATATTTTATTGTAGTAAATGCAACAGCTATTTCAAGTTTTCAGTATAAGCAGCATCAAGAACATACAAAAATTGTAAATGATGTTGAATTGTCTCGGTGACGCAGACATAACAGTGAAAATACTCGAATAAAAGCAGTATTACCACTTTGATTCGTTTAAAACTATTCGACATTTTATAGAAGAAATTCGACATTAAAATCGAGACGAAGAAACGTTTATATTACGAATTTTCGTTCGTGTATTGTCCGACTATTGCAATTTTCCCCGATTGGCATGATAAGAACCAACAATTGAAGTGATAAAAAACGATAGCAAATTGGTGTTAAGTTTTATTCTGACATGGCGGGCACACAAAGATAACAACAATGTTTATTTTTCTTCTTTTCTTATTGAATCGTTGATTCGTGTAAAAGTTGTTGCTTTGTGATAAGATTCCGTGAAGTGCCTTTTTTCTCTTGGTATTTCCATTGAAACTCAAGTCACACTGTGAATCGAACACTATTCAAGCTACCATAACTTTTTTCCGCATTATTGTATGTTTTGCCTTTCTACTTCACACATTCTCTCAATGCAAATATTTTATCATCAAACTCATGATAAAATAAACGGTTCACGATAAACGTCATTCGATGTGTGGTTACAAAGTATCTATTGAGAAAAAAAACCTGTAGAGTAGATAAATGAATGGAAATATTGTATATTAATATGTATTTTGAGAACCAAATAATTTACACATTTGTGTGAAAAACCATTGTTAAATCATTAAACATAAATATAACTGTTTCGAACGCGGACGTCAAATGTTCTTTTTTTCTTTGCATACTAATTGTTTATTAATTGATTTGACAATTGGTGCTATAATATTTCATATACACTCACTATAGGTGATTCATTTATGTTCATCGAATTGATGAATCAAATTAACATTGACAAAAAAATTGTTATTTTTCAATTTGTACAGTCATTTGACAATATTTCTCTCTATCTCTTAATTTTAAATGTAGCATATGGAGACACACACACACTTCAAATTCTAGAAAAATTAATGTACGACCTTTCAATTATAGACTCTCCATATATATTGAATAATATGTGCAGTCGTAACTAAATGTTTTAGTTGCTCTTGTTTTATGAGCATGTGTTGAAGAAGACGAAAAACATTTCTATGGTATAATTGAATTTCTTCATGAAAAAGGTCCATTTGGGATCAAGTAGACGATGAGGAAAAAAAAATAACACATCGAAATTAACGATCCCAAGATTTGTGCTCGTTGTTATTGTCTGCATGGACGATGGCGCAATGAAATTCATGCAAACGAGACATGCATCTTAAATGGATTGAACCGAAAGTTCAATGATGAAAAAAATCAGACACAGTAATGACACGCAGCAAGAGTATTAAATAATTATTTACTTTTGCATTCACTACCATTCCTATGCTTCTGTAGAGTTTTAAACGAACTCTTCTATTTTCAATTTGATTACAGAGTTTTTGTATAGTTTTTTCTCAACTTATGAAAAAGATAACCAGTGACTCTATAGAGTTGTTTTTTTTTTCGCTTGATTTCCCAAAGGCAAAAAGAAATTAGAAATGTAAGAAAAAAATATCAAAGTTTCATTTCAAAAAAAAAAAAGAGTTTGAACAACGAAAATGTCAATGTTTAGTGTAGAAAATTGAAAATTTATTTCGTTATATTCAAGTCATATGTATGTGCGACCAAAAAATGCACATCGGTGAAGCAAAAATACATTACATTAGGAAAAAGTCAGCACGTAAATAAAATATTTAATTGATTTGCCAATCCGATCACTATACGGTGATTTATTCATTTTATGACGGCATAATGTACGTGTTGTACTCCAGAGAGCTTGAAATAAAGCTATGGTGTGGCCGTAGCCGGTCAAACAATTAAATTCGTATTTAATATGAATATTATGTAATTGGAAATGTGAATGACGTCTGAAGCGTCTTCCAACATATACATACACTAATGTAGAATCAATAATAAAAATTCAGTAGTTCGATTTGTTTGCATTTGTTTCTTACGTGTGGATCATCGATTTTTCTTCTGGGAATTCATTAAGCTTGGCATACGTATATGTGTTGATTTCGCAGAGAGGCATAACAATAAATCTCCGATTTCATTATAGTGAGTGCAATGTGAATCACATGCATGGTCAGAAGGTTTAAGTGGACATTTAAGTGAAGAACACTAAGCCAGTTTATTAAATAAAATGACGAAATGAATTGTATATTATCAGCAGAATGAAAATTCCTGGCAACATCGATCGAAATTTTCTTTTATGAACAATATGCATTAAATGAATATTATATGCAAAATAACTGCTGAAATAAAATATGAAACCGTGAATGTTGAATTGAACATAGCCAGAATCATTAAAAAGATCCTGTTTATTTTATAATAATAAAGTGTGTGTGTAAGTGTATATATATATATGTATGCAATGGTGCCCATTGACATTAACATGTATATATACAATGTACATGGCACTCATTGCGACTAAATATGTAGATTAATTCATGCACGTACACAGTTATCAAATGTAGACATCTAATGGTAAGCAACTTGAACATTCAATATTACATCACGCAATCCGTCACGCAATCCGTTTTCATTTAAAAACAAATGCTTTTTTGTTCAGTTCATTTTCTTTTTGCAAAAACATATTCAAACCATGCTGTTACACCTTATCGTTTATGAATTAGGCTTTGTAGGTGATTCCGAAAAGAATGCAACTTTTAATATGTTATCGACATCCCACTCAATTTGTTTTTCAAAGCACTGCAGCCAAATCGATTCAGCGCGTATTGTGTATGCACGCAATTTCAAACTTTGACTTTTCATGATTATTACCGAACAAATTACAGTCATTACAGCTATTCGCAGCGTCTGTACAGCATTGCTACCCAGATGCTGAATCGAAGCGGTTGCCGCACGCATAGTCAGTATATATACAAACCATACAATGATTTTTAGATAGGATAGATGCGTAAGATCTCCGCAAGATCCAGATCCAAGCGTGCGTACGCTGCCGCATGATGCATACATATATAATACGCACGCAAATTCGTTATTCTTATTTCCCCTTCTTTGATTCGCATGCCATAGCATTACGGAGTAAGGAATGTATGTATCATGCGGCTACGTACGCACGCTTGGATCCGGATCTTGCGGAGATCTTACGGATCTATTCTATCCAAAAATCATTGTATGATACAAACGCATGTCGAACAGAGAACGAACGCGAACGTATATGCTCTGTGTGGTACAAACGAAGTGTGTTGCGCGTGCGGCAACCGCTACGATTCAGCATCTGGGCAGCAATGCTGTACAGGCGCTGCGAATAGCTAGCGCTATTCAGATAGAAAAAAAACCATCACTGATATATATGAGCGACTCAAGTTTTCCATTTTCAGTGTTCTTCTTTTTTGTTTCGCTTTGATATCCGATTCTCATTTTGTTAACGTCAGACTCCAAAAAGTCAATCAAGTCAAGTCTTTTGCATTCTTTCTCGGTTGTAAATAATAAAAAACAAGCATTTCGCAAAAAAATCACAGCGCAAACCAAAATCCAAACAACAATATTTCTTTGCTTCAAAGAGCATTGAGCACAGTAATTCGATCATTTTCATTTGATGAATGCTATTTATCTTCCGGAAATAAAGCAAACGTCAGTTGTTAAAAGTAAAGAAAAGAGAATGACAAATATGAACAAATGAAATCGACCTCAAGATTTTGATGTTCGAGTATTGCACTAAGGTTTTTCATTTACTAATTGGAATCGTCAACAATGTTTTGATGATGTTGTCTAACAATTCCACAAGAAAATTTTGTTGGATTCAGACGGACAATTGTAAAAAATTATCATAACTAGTTTTACGACAAAGTATGATGACGTGGACGTTGTAGTAAACAAAAATGAGCTCATCTTCTTCGTAAAGACAGTATTCTATACAAATAGCCCGTGGCAGGTGTATCACACTAATAACGAGCTCATTACGAAATTACGTTGCAAATGGCAAACGCTTGTATTTAAATTGACTACTAAAATTAATGAATATTCGAAGTTGTTTACAGACAAATATTCATCAGGCCGTTTAATATTTCACTGAATAAATCTGCTGAAGGATCGATCGATTTTTAGCAGCTCTTAAATTGTCATTTTTTTTAATTGCAAATTTTTCATTTAAATGAGAACAAAGCCATAGACCAAGGATTAGAAATAACCTTTTCTACGTATATTTATGCATATACCCATGGATACTGTAATGCCACATATGGTTAACTGTAAACTGTAATCAATATCAATTTTTTTCAAAAATAGTGTTACACTAATCATAGATCCAGAACTCTAACTAAGAACAATATTTTTAGACTTGATTAGAAAAACATCTCGATGTGTAGGTTTTTTTCTTCTCAATTCGCGCATGTACATCAAAAACCGCATGAAACTCAACGTTCAAATAAACAAATATCAAACAACAGTTTCATAATCAATAAAACTCAGAATTGTTCGTGCGTTTTCTACAAATAAATTTGTTCCTGTTTTTCGTCAACATTTCAAACAAATATTTGTGTTGAAATTTCGTTTGACTCATCTAGATTTCAAGAACAACAAGAACATTTTATATGAAGATTCTATCAATTGATTCACTTATTTTGCATTTTTTAATGCCAATAAGCTAATAGCATTGTTTGAATCGGCACCAATTTTAAGAATGAAGTTATGAATCTCAGTTTTTCACTACTTCTTCTTTTCTGCTCTCGTCATTCTCGTGGGCTATGAATTTCATATTATTAATGCGTCACTGGAAAAAGGATCGTTTTCGTAGTTACTTTTTTCATTGTTAAATGTCAAAGTTCATTCGAAGTGGGCCAAATAATTTGGCGGAGCATTAATAACAAAAAAAAATTATACTGATTCTACAGAGTTGTCCGTCTGTTTAATAATGTTTTAATTTTAATCAAGTTTCAAGGGAATTATTTTCGTGAACTTCATGAGAAGGGACAATAACTGTTTCTGACAATTCTCGTGAATTATTAGTATATCAAAACATACAGCAGTGTGACACAAACAAATGCCACCTTTTCATGACGTTTCAACTATTCTAATTTTTTAATAAGCAATGTGTTAGATTTCCCATTAATTTTGTTTTGAATATCCCCCACAATACGTATGTCATTTTGTTTTCCAAGCATATTTTTTTCATGATGCCCAAGTTTGTTGTACTATCATGTTTCTATGAGCTTTCGTTTTCATGCATCCATTTCATAATTATTCATTGGGAAAAAATTGTGACCGAAAAAAATCGCGTTGTCAGTTGTATTTTTTTTTCCGTTGCGGAGTAAATGGATGGCTGCACCTTTCTTTCGTTTTTTCAATTATATAATATATAATTATAATATGTATGCAGATAATATAAACCAAATTTAATCAATATCTTGTTTTGCTCTAGTAGCGCAATGAGTATGGTTTATTTCTTTTAATTTGAATATTTTGATCAAATTTTTAATCCATTTTGAATTTTTTTAATAAAACTACTTGACCATTATCTGATATTATATAGATGGCGTCACGTCAACGATTCCTACTTGAATCTCTACTGTGTTTAACATTTGCGTTTTATACAGCAAACTTTATTATTTTAAAACGTAAAAACGGCTAGATGAACATTTTTATCTACAGAAAATTGATAATGTGTCGGCTTAAAAAACCGTTATGTTCTATCCCTTTATTTATTTTTGAATTAAAAATGAAGAATTTATTATTTATGCTGCGGTTATCTACCGGACATACGTATATCTATTTTGAAATTGTGAAAAGCATAATATGCTTGCTTTAATCGGAAATGTTGAAGAAAAACAGACGGAACCTTAAGATAATTATTGACAAATAGGATTTAAACACAGAAAATAATGCATCACTGCTTTAAAACTGTCATGGAATTTTATCGTAGAAAAAAATTTCGGCCCGTTTCCATGAGTTTCTAGAACATTCTATTGCATTTTTCTCGACATTTCTAAAATATGGAGAAAAAACCCAAAAAAAAAAATACCGAGGAAATATGCCTCGGGTCAATTTGACCCGAGGGACGGGTCTAAGGTTAAATAAATTTTGAATTTCACACTTGGGGTTACCCACGAACACGATACTAGAAAAACTAGAACAAATTACAAAGATGTCAAATGTACATGTCATATGGCGTTTTACTAGAAATATTAGAAAAAATTAGCACATATTAGAATCCGTGGTTTCCCCCTCGATTTCACACAATTTGTACCTATATATAGATACACTCTGTATACACTATACAGAGTGCATTTTAATGATTTGTTCAATTTGACACAGTTCATTTGAAAGTTCCTTCATGTAAACAAAATATGATTAAAATCACACCAATTGCATTTTGAAAAGGCAATTAAATCCAGAGTCTGGATTCCAGACGAGAAGAAGGCTTAAACGTTTGCACATATATGCCTTTGTTAAATAAATTCTGTATTTGGCATCTCTCCTTCGCACCGAATTGTTTACAAAAAATCATAGTTTCCATTCATAAATTGGCCTCTAAAGCGAATCCACACAGTATACTGTGCTAGAGCATATAATTTTTTTTATTGATATTTTTGTATAAGAATAAAAATAACACACAAACCGGCCAACCATTGCGATAACAACCAAACATTACGACGATAAAACGACGGAATAGACGCAATTTATGCAGAATGGAAGAGAATAAACAATACAATGAAAACAACGAAAACTAGCATATGTTCTATTTCAATTCAGAAGAAAACCACATCAACCGACGTCGGTATCATATTGTGGTTTGAGATTTCTGAACGAATTTTTTGAATTATGTATATGCATTCAAAATCGGCATAATCATTTAAGAGAACGAAGTAAAATACAAATAAGTGTCGATAATGTGCATTCGATGTACTATTATATTATTCAAGGATCACACTGTCTTTTATTCATTTTAACCATTTTCCACAAACAGGCCAAATGAAAAAAAGTCAAATGAATGTAAACACAAACAAATGCGCCTCTAGTAGGAATTCTAGAATTATTTTTAGTTTTTTACTTCAACGAGAAAAAAGATATAATGTCGTTGATTTATTCGAGTTTACGTCATTACATATACATTCATTGAAGATTGTATGCAATCGAATTTCGCGCGCGCAAACACAATATGAAAAATATGCTGAAAGACCATTTCATGCATATTTAAAAATGAACGAAATGGTTCAAAAATAGAAACACAATTGGCGGAAAATCGGCATGATTTATCAAATTTCCGAAACAAAACATTACCGTTTTAACGTTAAGAGCTACCCTATCATCAGGGAATTTATTCAAACGAAATGGACGATAAAAGAACGAAAAAATAAAAATAAAACGAAAAAATGATGTCCGTGTCCGTGTACACAAAAAATCACAGCCGCTAAAATTAAACAAAATATGTGTCGTTGTTTTTAAAAGTGAGCGTGTATATGTTGTTGCTTATAAAACCATATATTCAGCTGCCGCCGTGAGATAGAAAGGGAAAGCAAGTGTTTGCATACCGCCGTCAAAGTGAATTTTGTAAAAATTGAATTGATATCTCTCTCGCTATTTGGAATCAATTGACGCACGAGCTGTATTTTGTAAGAAATACAAGTATATACATGTGTTGCTCGTGGTCGTGCTCTTCGTTTCTCTTTTTTCTCCAAAATTCATTTGCAACGAATGAACGAAACACACAAACAATTATAATCTTTTCTTTTTATGTTTTTCTTATGTATCGATTATCGCATTCATAAATGAATAGCAAGTAAAATACAAATTAGAATATTTATATATGCAACCACATTGAGATAAGCAAATGAATATTGTTGTTGTTCAGTTTACTGTATGTATGTGTTTATGTTTTTTTTTCAACTTTCATTAGGGCGCGACATCAGCAGAGAGGAAAGTCGTTTTCAAAACACCGACCACAAACGTTTTATCGACTGTCAAAACAGAGGTATCAATTAGTGACATTTGGAGCACGCACCATAAGTGCGTTGTATAGTAATTGTTGTATGCATAAAATCGGTGTTGTGTTGTATCTCAATGAACAAATATGTGACAAAGACCATTGTGAAGTGACATTTTTATGTGATTGGTGACCAATTATGATGCTTTGAGTACATGAACAAAAATATTAATAGCCAAACACTCACATCATACAACTCTACAACTCAGAAGTTCTACAATTATCCGGGAATCAACTATGGCGAGAATACGGAGTTATTACAACAAAAGTCGCAGTCTTTTGTTAACTTTTTACATCACAGCGCTCCTTTTAATTTGCTCCATGCAATGTATTAGTAGTAAGTACCAAAAAATTGACCAAAATTGGTAAAAATTCAAAAAGCGGTTTTTTTTGAGTATTCGGCATAATTGGGGAAATTTCTACAAAAAAAAAATCAATATTACCCGTTTATTTTAATGTCAGTCACACTTATATCGATATCAACACGTTTCTTCGCAATTAATTTATTCATTCTCCGAATCAATTACAAAGTACGTGAGAATGGAAGATTCGACGAACGGTATTTCCCAGCAATAAACATGGACCTTTGGAACATAACAAATCAAATGTCGAAATTCACAAACAAAATCAATTGGGAATTCAGAGAGATAAAATGTAAATACTCGCATCTTTACGACATTTTTTTCTTAATTTTCGGCCGACTTTCAATAATAAAAATCCAATGATACAAAAACAAACTTCCCACATAGAGAAAACAAAAAATTTTCACGATAACTCAACCACAATCCGTGAGTAATATATGCGCTATAGAAATTTAGGTTAAAAAAAAGACTGTGTGATATACAATAAAGTGGATACTCGTGTTGTTGAAAGCAATATGTTAGTTGAAAGGCTTGCTTAATGATATTGACTCCAACATGCAACAATAATTTAGTATTATATTTTGCGCGTATATTTAATTATAAAATATATATATTCGTGTTGACTACAACAACGAGAAAAGCATGAAATGTAGTCGAGAATTTCAGCCAAACATAAAGTTCGATGTGTACGTATTACATCAAAACATACTTGTGCCGGATTTCCGCGATGTTTGAGCAAACTATATATGGAAACTAAAACTTCTGCATACGATATTATTTCATACGAAAATTCATTAATGAATCGTTATCTTTAATTTTTTTTTACTTTATTAAACAGCGTTTTTAGTTGAAAATGCACCACTGATTACACCAGCCGAAGCAGATATTACAAAATTACCCAGTGAGAATGTGAAATTCACATGCCAATCAACAGAACCAATTCGTTGGCAGACTCATGTAAGTTGGCAAATTAAATCCATTCGAAGTAGAAACAATCCCAGCTAATCAATTTCCATGTGTCAAATTATCAGGAGGAATTCTATTTGAATAGACATACCATTACTGATATGCATCATGAAGGCGCTGAATATGCATATGAAAGTGTTCTCGAATTGATCCAAATTGATTATACCTATGTTGGATATTATTATTGTGTAAAAAATTCATCCGTATCCGATACCAATGACCGAGAAAGTCTGGAGACATTAATTGAAAGTGGTCATGCATCAAGAATTTACTTATTTGTCGAGGGTGAGACTGATGTCTTTTAGTTTTATCCAAAAATATATTGACATTGTACTTAAACTTTTCTTCGCTTTTAATTGAAGATCCATTACATCCACTGGCTGAAGTATCGATACCAGTAGTGCAAGGAAATCAACATCAAGACATTATAATTCCATGCAAACCGACATCGAAGAAATGGGACATTAAGCTGATCAAAGAAGCAGACGAGGTAAATGATATGATATAGTATAATTGTTGATATGTGTAAAACCACGTTTTTACCTCAGTAACTCTTGACTCCTTAAATCATAACGTACACCCGTTTATTTGTCGCCAATAGGTCTGATGGTATGTGTGTGTTTCGATCCAAGTTAAATACAATCAAATTAATTCAAACATTTTAGTTAGTTTGCGTGTAATGAATTTTAATTGCAATATATCGACAAATTTTATTCGTTTAAAACACGAAAAACTATTAACTTAATTCCAAACTTAATACACATGCTTCGGTCAAATATTATAAATGATTTTATAAACAAAAAAAACAATTGATTTCTATACAGCAATCTATACCGAACGATATTTCATTCGATCCGAGAATCGGATATAAGATGATGCGATTGACCTGTGATAATCCGGGACCCTATGCATGTCAGTCAATGAATGAGGAAATCATATTTCACCTAAATGTATTTCGTATGTGAAGTTGTTTCTTTTTCTATTCCCAAGTATTATTATTTTACAACAATTATTATTCAATTTCATTGAATATAGTTCCATTACAAAATCATTTGCTCCATATAACAATAGTTTGCGAAAAGAAAAGCATTGCATGTCAGTTTTATTATTACGCATAATATACAACAAGAGAAATTAGGTTAATTTATAAATAATACGTTTGAAATGTCACATAATTGACGTTCTTCAGAATTTTCAGAGTGTAAATTTGCTTATGTTAGGGTTCATATATGAATTTAAGCATAAATAATCCGCATACAGTGTACAGAAAATTATTTTAATTTATAATTATGATTTTTCACATTTTATTATTTTCAAGAATTGTTGTATATTGAACATTTTCTAGATTTCTGATACTATTGAGTTTATGAGGATTTTCAATTCTAATTTTAATAGTCGAGTGGTTGTAATGTGCACAATAGAACGCCAAACTGAATCCAAGCAAGACATTACCAACTCCAACATTGTAAAGCAAAACTGATTCCATTGCTATGGAAAAATAAAGATGAGTAAGACTGACAAGAAAATGAGATTTATCCTCAGATTAAGAAGTCTTCAATTCGAGTCTGCAATATTCGTCCAATGGCTGTTTTCTCCTTCTATTGATGATTTATTTTTGTTTCAGACACTTTGTTTAAACAAAAATTACATATTCTCCCAAATTTAATTCCAAATTATTTATTTATCTAGGCGCATCAATTCAAATCCACATTTACAGCAACTGATGGCTATCGAATTCGTTTAAATGAATTAACTGATGGTGGAGACTACAGATGCCACGCAATATTCGATATGACTAACGAAACTGATATTCATTTCAGTGTCCATGTTGATTGTGAGTTGATCAATTGCCAGCATAATGCAACAACAATTGTGAATGAAATGCCTGCTACTTCTATCGTTGATTCACCGATTGACTTAAATAACATAACAACAACAATAAGCACGTCACATTTAACAACAAAACCAACTATCACTAGTAGTATTTCAATGGTGAAAGAAATAAGTCGCTCTGGTGTTGGGCAATCATCATTTACAAAAAGATATATTCCATCCAATAGTTCTTCTATTGACCCTATTCTACCTTTGTCACCCACTTCTATTTTGCAATCTAATCACCACATGAATTTAAATGATGTAAAAATAACAACTGCAACTTCTGATTCAATAACCACAATACGTTCACCACATGTGAACGATGGAATCAACCGAAGTCATAGTAAACGTAGTGTAAAACCAACACCATCAATGGACAAAACAAAACGCAGGGGTTAATATTTCCATTCATATTCTTCTACATATTCATATTGTTCTGTTCTTTATGATGTATCGCTTTTTCGTTATTTTTTTTTTTACTAATTTCGCTGCTTATCGAATTTTGTGGGAATTCTTTTTTATATTTGGGCTCGATTATGGTTCTGGTATATATTTGTACTAATTTTTTTTGCATATTTGTTTTTAATTTACTTTAATGTACTAAAACACATTTACATTGCGTTCACAATTTTCAATTCTATCACTTTCACTTGATTTCATCTTCTACTTTTGCATGTACTTTTGCTTTAATTTTTTAGCACGTATTTTATTTTTGTTAGATTTTTTAGTTTATTTTTTTAATGCAGGCATTTTTTATATTTTTTTCTTGGTTTTTTCTGTGTGTCTTTTGATGTTGATGAACTATTAAAATGACATATAAACATTAACTTTCTCCAAACAAAATCACATCAAAATCTGCCACATCAAGTAGCTGGAACTGAATACGTAAATAAGCCGGTAATTGTGTCAAAAACGCAAAAATATGGCATCGAAGGCGACATACTGGAGTTCAACTGTTCAGTCGAGGCTAGCCTTGGAACTGAGATTTACATGACTTGGATCACACCAATGGATAACATTGCGAAGCTGGTTTGTTTATTGATCATAATCGCAGTGACTAATAAATTCGAATTTTTTTACATTCTAACGTGCACATAATTTCACAGGAGGGTCGAGTCGAAATCACTGATCCCATTCGGCAAGAACACCAAAGTCATCCCGAACTCTTTCAAGCGGTCGGAAAATTAATCGTTAAGAACTTGGATAAAACTAAAGATGCTGGCCTATATAAGTGCTTGGTAGAGGATCGTTCGTCCAATCGCAATTCGGCAGTAATGAATATCATTAAAATACTGGGTAAATAACCAATATTTACACTCAAAATGAACAATTCGTGTTGGACTGTCCATCATTTTGACGATGGCTCAACCATTACTTTGATTCATTTCACATTAATTCAATGCAATACTATTTCATTTCATTTAGGTGCGAATGAGTCGTTTATTAATATCTCAGAACCATCTGGTCGATACAAATTTGAGGTCAGTGCAAATCAATCTGAGCTGAAATGGTATGTAAAATATTATGGACATCCAGTGCCAGAAATCGTTTGGCGTGATATTCGTGGAAATGAAATTTCATGGTCACAATCGGAAGACCGAAATCGTAAATTCGAGGCGACAAAAGACGAAAAAGCGACTACATTGAAAATTCGAAAGCCCAGACTTGGCGATTCAGGTTTTTACGTATTGCATGCAGACAATGGAAGAATGATTAAAGAGCAAAAGTTTCAATTGCTTGTCAAAGGTATTAAGACATTATTCATGGAATTTTTTCAGATCAAATTCACTAAAATCTAATGAATGCCGTATAGAAAAACCACAACTCAGCATGAATGATGTGTCAATCAAGCCCGGCGTCAATGCGGTTATAAATTGTAAAATTTTCGGTTATCCCGCATCATCAGTAACTTGGTCATTTATTCCTTGCGAGAGTGTTGAATATGATCTCACTCCATGTGATGAAAGTAAAAGGGAAACATATGTGAGTGAATGGAAATTTGTAATTTTAAAAGATTTAGTTTCTATGGTTTTTTTTTTTGGATTTGGCCACTTAACACATATATTTGGGCTTTTTTTTGCATGTTTTCTAACACCCCAATTATTTGCACATAGAATCATTTTGAGCAAAATGAAGTAAGTTTCAAATTGCACCGTCATTGATACTAACTCATATTACTGGTTTCAATTACTCGATTCAATGGATTTTCCATTCACTTCGTTCTAGAACCAAACATCGATGAGCGTTACAACGCTGGCTATACCACCATTCAATCAAACATCGACTTTCAATTTTGTGCCAAACAACACGGGCATTGTTATTTGCGATGCGAAAAATAGCCAAGGCAAAACAGAGACCAGAGCCAAAGTCATTTTGAACGATTTGGATGAGGAGCTAAGCATATGGACTAAGAATGAACTTCCAATTGCTGATGGTGACAATGTTTCGGTGACCTGTGGAGTTTCCGCACACAAATATTCAACCGATTTGGAATGGTACAAAGATGACACCCTGGTCGTTAGCTCAGATGGTATGTGGAGTGAAATGAGTATTTTTTTTATAGAGAATTATTTTTGGAGTATTCGTTTAATTTTTTGCGATTCCAGATGTAAAAGTAATTACACAGAACACACTCTATTCACATCAGCGAGAGATCCAATGGAAGAATGTCACCAGAGCAGCGTCAGGAAAATACGTGTGCAAAGCTAGTGTCATCAAAGATGACTCAAAAGAGACAAGAGCATGGAATTTAGATGTGGTGGAACCACAAGAACCAGAAATCAAATCAAACTTAAACGGAGCAGTAAAGAAAAGTCCAGTCGGTGAACCAATCAAGTTATGGTGTGAAGTCACTGGTATTCCACAGCCAACATTGACATGGTATAAAAATGGAAATGTAATTGTACCCGAAGTCAATGACACACATATTACATTGGATGAAAATGGAACCGTACTCAACTTTCATTATACCAAAGCCGACGATGAAGGCAAATACAAATGTGAGGCCATGAATAGACTATCGACGACCCACCATAAAGTCACCATTAAAATGACAAGTAAGACGAATCAATTGTTTTATTCGATTTAAAGCATTTCGTTAAATCTTGAATTTTCGGCACGTTTCAGATTTGCCAACGGTCAGTTTTGCCTTTATTGTTAGTGTCATCGGTGTGATTTTAGTGCTGGTAATTTGTACAATTTACCTATGCATTAGAATTCGACGTGAACGGCGTCTCTTCCGTGAACTGAAAGCAGCTGGTTTGGCCAATTTCGAAGAAGGCAATCCGGATAGTATCAATCCAGATTTGGCCTTGGACGAACAGGCCGATCTTTTGCCTTATGACAAAAAGTACGAATTCCCGCGTGACAAACTCAAACTCGGCAAACAATTGGGAGCCGGTGCTTTTGGAGTAGTTATCAAAGGTGTTGCACAGGGTATTCTACCTTATGAAGACGAAACAACCGTTGCCGTTAAAATGGTCAAGCAAATGGCGGACAATGAGGTTGGTTTTTATGAAAGAAATTTGCATTATTTTGTATGCAGTGAATTCCATATATTTTTTATTCATGTATTTCGAATTATTTTCATAATTTTCATTCGTTTTCTTCTCGATTTCATTGAAACAGGTTATGCGAGCATTAATTTCAGAGCTGAAGATCATGGTACATTTGGGTCAACATCTAAATGTTGTGAATTTGCTTGGAGCGGTTACAAAAAATATTGCACAACGTAAGAACACAGTCTTTACAAAGTTAATTTGGCTTTCTCTAACCAATATCCAATATAATATAATATTATCCGTAGGTGAGGTCATGGTTATCGTTGAATATTGTCGCTTTGGTAATTTGCAAAACTTTTTGGTAAAACATCGACGATATTTTATCGATCAAATCGTTCGAGATAAGGATATAATCGATCCAACGATTCAAACAAACGATCCTCGATGGTCGAATGACAGCGGTTACTCATATTTCAATAGGTATTATCAATTAAGTCAAACATTCACTCTAAAACCAAAAGACAAATCGTATACAATTTTGTCACTAACGTTAGATCGTGCAGATTAACTTCTCAATTAACCATTTACTTTACTTTTTTGTAATGTTTAATATTCTAGCTTTAAAATCGCTTGCAATTGCTAGGTAGCTTTGGTGATGGATACATTTTCAAATTCATTTCAATAACGAAAAAATCGTTCTGCTCCTTTGCTTTTGCAATCGAATTTCGCTTGTCATTTATGTGTTGATACAAAATTTGCTTGTTTGCTTGCATATCGCAATTTGATTCGTTTCAATTTAAAAGAAAACACACTCATTTTACATTCTTTTTTTATAGTTTCGGGTAATTTGGTGGTGGCTTGTGTGCATAATTAACCATTTTGTATTTCTTTCTTTTCTTCTTTTTTTTCCAACTTCGTTTGGTTTTTGGGTACTACTTTTCACTACTTATGTATGTAATCTGTATTTGTGTAAAACTACTTATAATAACTACCTGCAACTTGTCCCAACCCGTTGGTGAAATGCTTGTTTAAAAAACACCAAATCACTCTAACTATGCTACAAATGAACAAAATATCCAGTAATCTTGGACTAAAATATATTCAATTATACTTCCCGAAAAAACAACAAAATCACTACGAAAACAACAATAGACCCGATGCCGATCGACAGAGTGTTGTTAATTCAGCATACATTCGACATTCGAATGTTGGTGATTTCTTCCCAGGCGGAATGGATAGTTCAAATACAGAAGCAACACTATTGTCACGCAGTACGATTCCGGGCGGTGAGTAGATATTATTTTTAAATTGAAAATTACGCTGGTGACAATATAAAATACTCATACCATGAATAATTGACTATGTACAGGTGAAGAGAATATGGCATTATCTGACTCGACACAGCCTGCATGGCGTTCAAATTATCAAAGTGATTACAAAGGACCCAGCCGTTCTGTCACCACAACCGATTTGCTTTGCTGGGCATTCCAAGTTGCACGTGGTATGCAATATTGCCTTTCTATTAATAATTAATTCTTATTGATTATTTGTCGATTATTTTAAATTAATTGTATTCTTTTCTTTTGTGATTCTCCCCTTAGGTATGCAATATTTGGCATCGCGTAAAGTACTTCACGGCGATTTAGCTGCTCGAAATATCTTACTTTGTGAAGATAATGTGATTAAGATTTGTGATTTTGGTTTGGCACGATCAATGTATAAAACCGACAATTATCGTAAGAAAGGAGAGGTAATCAATTACTGTTCATTCAGACTATTTAATAACATTCTTATTCGCAAATTTTCAAATTTTTTTTTTCGTATAATTTAGGCTCCTCTACCATTCAAATGGTTGGCACTTGAATCGATTAGCGATCAAGTGTTCAGTACATATTCTGATGTGTGGTCGTTTGGCATTGTGCTGTGGGAGTTATTTTCATTGGGAAAAGTACCATATCCAGGAATGGACGCCGATCAAGCATTGTACTTTAAATTGAAAGATGGATACCGTATGGAGAAACCGGATTTTGCAACTCAAGACATGTAAAAATATACTCATATTATTCTTTTTATTATATCCATTCGCAAAACAATTAAAAATGTGTTATAAATGGCTTTTTTTCTGACAGATATGACATCATGTTATCGTGTTGGTGTGCAAATCCCGAATCGCGTCCACTATTCGATGATTTAGAGAAGAGTGTTTCGAAACTTTTGGAGAGTGGCGTTGCCGAGCATTATATCGATTTAAATGAGCCATATCTAAAATCGAATGTTAGCAATTTCACAACAGGACAGACTGATTATATGGCATTGATGGGTTCACCCGATTGTCAAGCGCCACGTACACCTAATAATTATGTAAATAGTCACATAATTGCAATGCAACCACCGCCGGATGGTACAACAACAAAACCAAATTATTTGGCAATGAGTCCACCGATAAATATAAATAGTCCACTACCAGACGGTATTGATATACACGATTCACATTTTCCATTTGCCACAAGTAATTCACCAACAATAGTCAATAATTTGAACGCCACTGAAAGTTCACCCAAACTTCGCACCAAAATGTCAAATATACCTGAAGAAATACCGATGCTCAAACGTTCAAATCAATCATTTCACAGTGATTCGGACTCCGAACAGAATACATCTGATGTACAAAATAGCAGTAATATACAGAGCAAAAATGCAAATTTATTGAACACATTAGATGATAATTATGTAAATATGCCATCAGCGATAGTCACGCAGAAAAAAGATGCAGTGAGCAATCCAGGCTATGTTGCTGTTTCAAATATCAACGAAACAAGGACTTGAACAAGATTTTTTTGTATTTTCACTATAAGTTTTCATTTAATTTTTTTAATCTCATTGCTATTGTTGTTTGTTAAATGTACGCTTTAACTATGAGCCATTCATTCATCATTACTTGTAAAAGAAAATAATAAGAAGAAAAAATAAAATGTCTTACATCTGTAAGATGAACTTTTCCGCACTGTGATCCACAACATGCATTTATTTCAAATATTTCATAGAAAACATGTTTTGGGGTGACTTTAATTTTTTGGCCTAATACAATACCTTTCCTACACTAGGTGTGCGGAAAAGTAAAATGCGTAACCCAGGCACGAGAAAATTTGACGAATAATTCTGTTAATAACAGTTTTCATCTAAAAATCATCAAAAATTTGTATTTTTATATGGAAGTCATGCCTATATGATGTCGTAATGACGTGAAACTTTGCACAGTTTATTTTTTCACAAAGTTTGAAGAAATGTCAACACAAATTTTGTATTTTTAAACAAAAAAGCGAGAATAAATAAGTTCAAATTATGGAATTCATCATCTCGCAGATGATTCAAGTTGACTATCTCTGGGCCCATGTGTTCTACATGATATTTTAATAGTAAATTGAGCTTGATCGACACTGGAGACGCCAATAAAAATTGAAATGCTTTTTTATCAAAAAATCACTCAAAACAAGAGTTATCGTTTATGTTATCATAAATAGTAAAAAAAAGTACTCAGTTTAGAGTGTTCATTTACCATGCCATGACTTGTAAACAAAACACCGTCAGTCAATGACCGTGTCTATTGGAGAGATATTCAACTCAAAATCACAGACACATCAAACTGCTATTTGTTTGAATCAGTTTTATTTCACTTACGCGACTGCACGTTAAATTTCAATCAGCTCTTTTTAGCACAATAATATTCTGCAGCCGACTTTAAGTTAAAGACAATCGCTTTTTCGTCAATTTTCAAAATCTAGTGATTTTCTAGACAAAAAAGCCGACTCTGAAAAGTATCATCTTAGAAGTCCATCTTGGATTGAATTTGAATAAATTTTTCCGGTTCTGTGAATTTCTCCCAAAAAAATGTCCCAATCTTTACTTTAGATAAAAAGGAACTTACATCCGTAAGTCTAACTTTTCCGCACTGTTTCCAAATTTCTTCCTTTAGGTAGTGCAGTACTAATTCAATAACTACCGAATTATATTGTCTAAGAGCAG